TTGGCCGATCTCGACTGACCTATGTCAGTGCCCTACCTCACTTGTATCATGTGTAAAAGTCGTGAGAGGCTAACCCCCGGCGTCTGGCCTCCAGAACCTTGGACATACATACATTCACCAATAGGTATATCCCTGTCCCATCCTAAATCCTTATCCCTTCCAAGTACCATAAAGTCGTAATGGCTTGGTGCTTTCTCCTGAAGATTTCCTTCCCTTCCAATAGGTATAAATATTACATATAGACACCTCCAAGCTCGCCCCAGTCAACCCTCCTCCCAACTCCCTCTGCGACAACCTATTGGGACATATCTCTCTCCCCCCATATGTTAATGGTGCCCACTCCCCACCTCTTAAGAGCCAGCAGCAACAGTTGGCTGTGACAAAAACACATGTCAAGGGCTGGTGGCAGAGACGAAGTGAGGCACAGTTGTGGATTACCGCCCGGAGGCGGAGCGTCGCACAGGCGAATTCTCAGCGACAAAGGAGAGTAATAGAGAGGGAGAGGGATCCTAGCTGTCATCCCGTCTCCTAGGAAGGAGGGGTGACAGCTAGGATCCTGGGAGAGGCCAGTCAGTTTGACTGGCACTGGTCGCTGGAAGTAACTGGTTCCTCGCCATAAAGGTGCCGGAGAGGAGGACGTTCGTGCCACAGAGAGTGCTGTCATTGGAGGAAGAAGTGGTCGTTAGGAGGGGATCAGTTTAACAGCTTGTTACGTTGCTGTAAATGGTAGTCTCAGTACAGCTGCTTCGTCAACGGCTGTACCAAGAACAGTGACTTCTGTGGCGTTTATGTCATGTGTGACAATGTCAGTTAACATGGGTATTTTCTGTGAAAAAAGTCACATAGAATTATTACTTTTATATTATCACAGGTACATCACCAGTTATGCAACTACCCCTAGACTATATCAAGGGTTACATAGCTTGTGTTCTGTGTATATGTTATACGGATATAATTGCTGAAGTGTTATCATTGTCTCTACATTTAGTTGGTTAAAAGTCTGCCTTGCTGTTAGCCTTATACTCTTCTTCCCTCCTTCCCAAACACTATCAAAATTCTCTCTCTCTCTGTCTGTCTGTCTGTCTCTGTCTGTCTGTCTGTCTGTCTGTCTGTCTGTCTGTCTGTCTGTCTCTCTCTCTCTCTCTCTCTCTCTCTCTCTCTCTCTCTCTCTCTCTCTCTCTCTCTCTCTCTCTCTCTCTCTCTCTCTCTCTCTCTCTCTCTCTCTCTCTCGCTCTCGCTCTCTCCCTCTCTTTGTCCATTAAATTTCGGAGACAAATGCCTTTCTACACTCTGTCACCTGATATATGTTGCAATTTACATTTTAATAGCATTCAAGCCACTTAAAAATCGACAGTAAATTCTGTGTTAGTGGTTTATTATGCTAGCTAATTTAAAACCTTTTGTTATGCAAGTACAATATATTATTGTACAAATTGCATGGATGACGCATTAATTACAAGTGTGTCCTGCTCAGATTCCGTATTTCGTGTGTATTATATTGCTTTCTAATTTATCATGCAATTTATTTATAAAAATTCTGGCGATTTATTTGAACATAAGGAAATGGGAAACACCGCAGTAGGCCTACTGGCCTCTTCGTGGTAGGTTCTTTTAAAAATAAAAACAAATTTTACTCATATATCTATCTCTTTTTTAATTAAGACATTAAATTATTAATGCCGATAATACTAGATTATAATTTTGTTTTCCTAACGTCCTTGTAGATCAGGACAATATTTATCCTTGTCCTACATCTCTCAATGGACTATATGTTATGACACTACACACAGAAATCACAATAGCGTGATGTATCAAATGAATAAATTCACAAGGGCCGTGACGAGGATTCGAACCTACGCCCGGGAGCTTCCCAGACGCTGCCCTAATCGACTGAGCTACGACATGGTCAAAAAGAGTTGAAATCAGAAGTTGTACCTAACTTACTTGGATCCTGCAGCCTCTCCGAGGCACAAACCAGGGTTTTACACAACTCCCCCATGCACTCGAGCTATGTCAATCTGTTATGACTTTCTAACCTGCAAACGCAAGAAAGATTTCTAATGGTAGGGAGATAACTAATGCCACCATTTTAACACTATTATCCAAGTGAAGACTAACTGGCGGAAGAGGTAAAGGAACGAAATTGTTTTGTGTTTCCAGAGAGAAAATCATTTTAAATGACATTTCGTGCATCGATCTGCAGGTGGAAAATTCCATTAACGGAGCTGAAAGTCAGACACACAGCCAAGACGTCTGAAGATAACATTCATTCACAACAGGTAAACTTTACACCCAGCCAACGACCCCTTAGCGCACCTCCGTACACCTCCCTACACCTCCCCACACCTCCCCGCACCTCCCCACACCTCCCCGAGGTCAACGACCTCGTCCGGGTCGCATTCGCTTGGAATTCTCCTGAGCCTAGTTGAAAAATTCGATGCTATTCATTTCTATCTCTTCAATCAGTTTTTATTAGGAAAATCTAATTATCCCGAAGATGTCTCCGACTCTGATCTGGCGAGGAGATTGGACACGGAGGGAGGTGAGGTGGAGAGAATGTGGAGACACGGAGGAGGAGACGTCTGGAGACACGTGGAGAGAAGAGGGGGGGGGGGGATGAAGGGAGGACACAGAGAAAAATAAGGGACTTAGAGGACACAGAGAAGAATAGGAGTAGTCGGCACCCACCAGTCTCGGGAGACTATGGAGTTGCGTTCTGCTGGCCGAGGTTGGAGTGGCCTCTCCAGGGCGCAAAGCCAGGGTTGGTCGGTATGGAGGAGAAGCTGTTACCCATGTAGCAGGTCCATCCCCTTACAGAGAAGAGTAAGGCCAACAAAACAGAAGAGGCGAACGGAGAAGCTCAAGAGTCCCGGGGTAAGAGATAACCGTCGCCTGCAGCAGTGATCACGAGGATATACACTGAGATTCGGTAAAATATCAGCCTCACACGCGTCGGGGTCGACGGTTCGAGCCTCCTACAGCCCAGGTGAATGGACTGAGATTCAGGCTTGTACGTCTTCATCCACGAGGCGCCATGAGTCCCCGCTGCCCTGGTGGCCAGGGAGGGAATCTGACTTGATTAATTATGAAGCGACTGCAGCATCATTCATCTCCAAGACGCGATGACATCTCATTGCTGGGCGCTGATGCTGCGTGTCTCGCCACACTCTAGCGCCCTCAGCCTTGAAGTCAGTAGACAAGATGATGTCTTACCAGGTAAGACCATCATCACTATCTGGAGAAATTATTACAAGCCTCATCCGGTGGAACGTGAAGACTTAAGATGATTCGAAGACAGATTTCTTCCTTTCAAGACAAATTTGAAGAACTTGTTTTGGGTTGCGTCCGGGTAGCCTGTATAGGTCTTTTGGGTTGTTTTAAGTTCGTGTGTTAAGGAGGATGCGAGGGAGATCTCCTTCATGGAGACACGTTCTGTAAATTTTGTAGCAAGTCTGAAAAAGTGTATTGGAACAGCTTCATCGTTTGCTGCAACATTCTCGTGAGACACAATGTTGTGGAGGGTCTACACTCCAATCACTGCAGTTAATGAAGGGTTTTAGTATTTATTCTGTGGCATGGAATGGTGTTTTCAAAATTGTGGCAAACGAAATTTGCCACAATTTATTTTACATTCATTTACCATGCATTCAACATATGTATCAAGCTTGCCCTACAGATCAGGCATTCTGAAGCTGATTTGATTCGAACCGCCAAATATGCAACACGGGCTTCCCTCTCATGATGCATGACCTGTTAACTACAGCTGACTGCAGCTTCTCTCAGGATTGTGCGGCCCTTTATCCTCGTCGCCTGCACAGCATCTTACATCATGTTCCTGGCACTAAACTGCTTCACAGATAAATACCACCAAGGCATAAATACCACATCAATATATCAGTCCATGGTGACTGATATCTTGATGTGCTTGTTATCGACATCCTTGTTAGATAAGACCTGTCACAGAGTCCGTGCTATACAAGGACCTATCATAGAGTCCGTGCTATACAAGGACCTATCATAGAGTCCGTGCTATACAAGGACCTATCATAGAGTCCGTGCTATACAGGACCTATCATAGAGTCCGTGCTATACAATGACCTATCATAGAGTCCGTGCTATACAAGGACCTATCATAGAGTCCGTGCTATACAAGGACCTATCATAGTCCGTGCTATACCAAGGACCTATCATAGGTCCGTGCTATACAGGACCTATCATAGAGTCCGTGCTATACAAGGACCTATCACAGAGTCCGTGCTATACAAGACCTATCATAGAGTCCGTGCTATACAAGGACCTATCATAGAGTCCGTGCTATACAAGAGTGCTATACAAGGACCTATCATAGAGTCCGTGCTATACAAGGACCTATCATAGAGTCCGTGGACCTATCTAGAGTCCGTGCTATACAAGGACCTATCATAGAGTCCGTGCTATACAAGGACCTATCATAGAGTCCGTGCTATACAAGGACCTATCATAGAGTCCGTGCTATACAAGGACCTATCATAGAGTCCGTGCTATACAAGGACCTATCATAGAGTCCGTGCTATACAAGGACCTATCATAGAGTCCGTGCTATACAAGGACCTATCATAGAGTCCGTGCTATACAAGGACCTATCATAGAGTCCGTGCTATACAAGACCTTCATAGAGTCCGTGCTATACAAGGACCTATCATAGAGTCCGTGCTATACAAGGACCTATCATAGAGTCCGTGCTATACAAGACCTATATATGAGTCCGTGCTATACAAGGACCTATCATAGAGTCCGTGCTATACAAGGACCTATCATAGAGTCCGTGCTATACAAGGACCTATCATAGAGTCCGTGCTATACAAGGACCTGTCACAGAGTCCGTGCTATACAAGGACCTATCATAGAGTCCGTGCTATACAAGGACCTATCATAGAGTCCGTGCTATACAAGGACCTATCATAGAGTCCGTGCTATACAAGAACTTGTCACAGAGGATTTAATCGTTAAAGAAGACTTACTTGTTGTAGAGGACAATGTCAGGAAGCCAGATGATCTCAGACGGGACGTACAACTCAGTCACTCCGCCATACTCTTCCGGGTCCCATTGAAACTTGTGATCGCGCCATTCCTGACGAGTGAGAAATAGAACCTTGTTAGCAGTTCAATGGTTCAGAGTCATCATTAGAGTCCCCCATCACCATGTTATTGATTGCCCAGGCTGCATGCACCAGACTCAAGAGACGAATTCGTCTGGTGCTGTAATTATGAGGAAAAGTGAGGGAAGGGACGTCACATTCCTCCCCTCACTTGGAAGGGGATGTGAGGATGGAGTGAAGGAATAGGGGCCCCAATACTTTGTCCATCGGGGGATCGAACGCCGAACCCAGCAAGACACATTTGCCTATTTACACACCGTGTAACCAATAAATAGGAATGTTGACCAGACCACACACTAGAAGGTGAAGGGACGACGACGTTTCGGTCCGTCCTGGACCCTTCTCAAGTCGATTGTCGATCGACTTGAGAATGGTCCAGGACGGGCCGAAACGTCGTCGTCCCTTCACCTTCTAGTGTGTGGTCTGGTCAACATACTTTAGCCACGTTATTGTGACTCATCGCCTGCAATAAATAGGAATGTATAATATCATTTTGTGAATAATTATCTCTGGGATAGGTTAGGTTAGGTGTTTTAGTTCTGTTGGCAATTATTTGCATTTGCAATAAGTGAGGGAAGCATTCACTACCTCACCTGAATCACATGTAACCCTCACTACCTCAGATTGCCTTGCCATGTTTTCCCTATAACACAACCCACTATTCGTTTTACATCCAGGTGGACAATTCCTGCCGGGTGCCCAGTCGCTCCTCCCCCTCTGCAGGGTTCGAACCACAGGACATGTCACTGACGAGGAGGGTGTGTGATCCACTACACCAGAGAGCGTCCAGAGGCTTCACTGACCTCTGGAAAAGCTGGACGAGATCCAGAAACTATTTTCTTCTAGACATCAGCACAATAGCGTATTTGTCCCCCTTCAGGAGATAACAGCCCAATTCCAGGACTCTCGTCCGGGCGGGATCAGCCGCTCTGAGGTGACTAGACAATATCCAGCCTCTTACAGCTTCTCTCTATTCTCCCACTTCCTCTAACTCCTCCGTTCTTCATTTGTTCCTCTTTTTGCCGTTTATTCTCATCATTTACGTGGATGAATTTTCTTTCATTATAAATCTCTATTTATCACTCAGTCTTGTCCCTCTTTTTATTTTTTTTATTACTCCTCTTTTTTCTTCCTTTTCCTTATCTTTTCTCACCCTTCAACTACTCTTCCATCACCCGATCCACCACACACCTTCCACGACTCCCGAGAAATATTTCAGTTATCGCTAAGACATTTGCCCTCGTGACGAGAGAACGGTTCACAAGGGCAGTAAGGGCAGACGGGGCGGGAGCAGGGTATTGGACTCCGTGTGAGCACTTCACCCTACACTCACACAGTGTACCTACGTTTTCTTCTTCCGTCAGTGTATTTGGCGTTCCGTCAGTGTGTTTGGCGTTCCGTCAGTGTGTTTGGCGTTCCGTCAGTGTGTTTGGCGTTCCGTCAGTGTTTGGC